AGGGAAAGTCAACTTGACCCACCATCTTCTATCGTGGAGAAATTGCTATGGACTTACATGGATCTCCCGTATATATTAGGCTATTATGCTGTTGGCTACATGGTAACATTTTGCGCATTAAGTCGGTCGCAAGATCGCATTATCAGGACAGATTTGTATTCAGTAGACCTATCGTCCCCATCAGAGAGACTAAAAGCCCTAGCGCCGTGCTGTAGAATAGCAGGCCTCTTGCCCTTGCTGGCTGATCGCTGCTTCAATAACGTGAACAATGTTGGCTCGTACAAGCAATTCCCATTCAGCGATTTTGAAAGAATTGATATGGGGAATGGAAATATAATGGAAATGACACCGAATACGGTGATAAGATCATTCTCGAGCAAGAAGAAATGGGCAGCAGTGAAAGAAATATACGACATCTTGGATCATCGAATCCCACACGCCGAATTCATTTGCCGGGCATCTGAGAAAGATCTTACATTGGTGTTTAAGCCCAGAGGGTGCAAATTCAAGCCCGTAAACTGTGACCAACTCGTGGAAGCTCTCAAGTACGTGACAAAAGCCTTGGTAGCGCTACACGACTTGTGCTTCATGCACAGGGACTTGAGCTGGGACAAAGTGCTGCGGAGGAGCGACAGAGAGAACGAATGGTTCGTCTGTGGGTTCGACGAGGCGGTGGGTGCGCCACAGATATACCCGCAGGCAGTGGCGGGGGCGGAGGTTCGTGGGAGGCACGCGCCGGAGATGGTGAGGGGATTACACGGGGTGAAAGTGGACGTGTGGGGGGTAGGTCACTTGGTCAAGACCTGTGGGCTCACAAACGTGCCTAAAATGCTGAGGGAGTTGCAGAACAGGTGCCTGGATCAGAACCCTGAACAGAGGCCAACTGCAGCCGATTGCTACCATCACCTGCTGCAGGTGCAGTCAGCCTCATCATCCGGTGCACCCTATTGAAGTGATACCTTCACAGATTAAGAAATTTATCCGTATTTATGTCACATTATTTAATTGATGGGAGTAGTATGAAGTTGAGCCTAGTTTAGGTTCCCTTGGGATATGCTTCATAAATTTTTCAGTGGTATTGTTGGCGGTGGTTGAAGATATGGCTGGGTGTTCTGGTGGAGCAGTTTTGATACCTTAAAATTGAAGAAGGGGGTGTGTTTTTTGAGGGAGGGGGCCTGCGTCTGATCAATCTGATGACAAGGGTCTGAGATTTTGGAAGAGAAATGGCGGCTGCTGCTAAAGGGCGGCTTCTCGGGTTCAACAGTTAGTCCTTTCTTATCAAATCAAATCAAATCATGATTTTTAGAAGAGGTTGCTAGTACTGCTCCTTCTTTATCTTCTGGCGGGGGGTTATAAAAGAAAATTGCTTGTAACTGATATGTCTTGCAGTGTTACGGTTTCTGGATTGATGTTTGTATGCATCTCGAGACCTGGCAGTGTTTGGTGATGAGACGATTTCTGTGAGTGGTTTCCCACTGCCACTGCCATCGTACATATTGCAGCCCCTATCAATTTTTATTGTTGCTCCGAATCCTACTCTCTTTTTCCTTCTTATTCTTATAAGGCACAAAATTGTGTGAAGAGGTTCCTGCAAAGAGTTAATATTAATTTAAAATTTCGTTTTTGTAGGATTCCCTAATGTCTTTTTTTTCTCTCTCTCTCTTCTAAAGGGTTCTGATAATCCACCGGCTCCGTGACCTTTAATTCCTCCTTTATTCCTCATGCTGAACATTTTCTTTCGAGTAATTTCATCTAAATCTGGCATTCTAGAATACGGTTGGGCAAGGTTTTATGGCCCAAATTAATTGATTAAACTATAATAAACTTATTAGTAGGGTTTGAATTGAGATGTTAATGAGTAGAGAATACGATATTTTTTTAAATATCTGAACTTTAAGTTTATTATTTAACAAGATATGAACTTTAAGTTTATTATTTAACAAGATATTCGGTGATTAAATTTATGAATTGTTATTCGAATTTATGTTCGAATATTTTAAAATCTAATCATTAAATATTCAGTTAAATTAAATTTAAAATTAATTTTTATGTATATTGTTAATGAAAATTAAATTAATAAGTTAAAATTTAAAATCTCACTTAAAATAAATAAATAAATTTTAAAAGTATTACATTAATTATAAAAAAATATGAAATTAAAATTTAATATAAAAAAATTTTATAATAGGGTTTGGATAATTGATATCTTAAAACCATTACTTGAATCTCATAGTCGAGTTGAGTTAGGTAACACGGGTATCCAAACGTCTCTTAATTTGAAAATACATTATATAAAAAATTAACGGAAAGGTGATAGCATGCTTACTTAAAATTGTAGGTATGACTTAACAATTTTTCTGCTGGCTTTAGAGAATTCACAATTAAAAAAAAAAGTGATTGGTCCGTTGTTATATCTTAATTGGTAATAAATGCATAAATTAATTGGTATTGACGGAGATAACCTAACCTTTAAATATAAAAGAATATTTTCCATATGTTATCAACTAATTTTTAATTAAGTCCAACAAAATCATTAGTAATTTTCGATAAACCTGGCTTTGTTTCTACACCCCTCATTGATAAATCTACCAATACTTTATGTGTGAAGTCTAGATTGGATGATAAATTAATCCTTACACGTAAACTGCAAGGAATGCAATAGTATTATAAGTGAGGAGAAGATTTAAATACCAATAAAAATAAATTTCATAGTGATTAGATTTTAGAATATCATCAATATCCTTAAATATTTTAATGCCCATAAAAAAAATCCTTATATGTAACGTAGGTCTATTTGTTATCAATTTGCAGTCCAATTTACTTCACAAGTTTAATAATGAATACATAATAATTATAAGCTTTCTATTTGGTCCTTAGTTTTTCTGTTTGTTTTGATATTGCAGTTGAATTTGTTCTCTGCCTTTGCTAACGTACTCTCTTTATGTAACCTTCTGGTTGTTTATGAACTTCTTTTGACTTAAAAAGAAAAAACAAAACTACGTACTGATCAACGTTGAATACTCTAGACAGCTAATATTTATATAAAAAGGCATTAATGATAAATAACCCTTTTTTGGAGACATATGGTTTAATGCTTCGTCAGGATCACAACACAAAAGTAGTAGCCTTTCTTAATATACGGGGGAAGGACATGTATATACACACACGATCAGTTCAAGATTCTAGAACAGTGTGTTGTATGCAGAACTTATTACAAAAAAGGAGCAAAAAGAAAACATGGTGACATATTTGAGGGAAGTTGATTTGGATGAAGGCGAGGGCTTAATAAGGTGGATGCGTATACTCCAAATCTGCCCTGTCCCGCTGTGTGCCATCCCCTAGCCATAGTTTGACAGAGTTTGCCATCTCTAATCCACGAAGTAAAAGCATTTTGAAAGTGTAGCTAGGAAGAGTGCTAGCTTTCATATCCATGTCTCACAAGTGCTACATGTTTTTTTCTCCATTGATGTTGCATGGCGTCATGGCACATAGCCATTGGCAAAGAATGGTCCAGCTCCAGCGGCCAGTGCCCTCCACGTGGGGCCACTGTGTTTTCCATTATGGCGTCACACCACAACTACAGTCAGCTCAGCTCCCTTCAATGTTGCGATCATAGCTTTGGATAAACTGTGCAAGAAAAAAAAAAAGAAAGGAATGCATGAAGATTGTGATTTCTCTTCAACTTTTTATCACCCCACCTATATTGGATCACGTAGCCCTAAAGATTGCCTGTTGCCTGAATGTGGGTTACAATGACAGAACTTGGCTGTAAATCAGAACCAATGATACCAGACATTGTAGCAACTTTTTTGGGCAGCTTATTGATTCGGACGCCCCTTCTCAATTCTTAAAGGTATCCTTGTAAAAAGTTGCCTGCTAGACGCTTTCAAGGTATCTTTGAATAATTATGGTAGATTAGGACCGTGAGAAAATAATGGTTTAAAGGGAGTAAATGTTGTGATTTATGGACAATGGAAGAACCTCTTTTGCCATGGAGGATCTTCCGACTCAGCCTTTTACGCTAACCCCTTTATTCATGCGGGTTGCCAGTTAATTAATATTTGTCCAATTTTTTAACTTTCTTTGTGTTGGGCTTTTGCTTTTTTTTTTCCTTTCTTTCTCTGTTGCAGTGTCACTCATTTTCTTTCTTTCGGCACTCCAATGATAGCACATAGACGTGGACTCCAATCGGGTTTCCTCAGCCCAAATCAAAGCCACCTCGGGCAAGAGCCCATCAACTGGCCCTGGGTTGGGGGCTTCCTTTCCTATGGTGTGTCCTCATCATAGGCCAGGCACTGGTGTCTGCTTGAACAGAATTATCCCCAATCTCTTTATTTGTTATCCACGAGAAAATGAAGATTTCGTTCCAAGTTTCAAAATTAGCCATGTGCTCTCCGCATATGCCACTGCTTGACTTCAAATGAATTTTTAATTTTAAAATATGAAACTTGTTTGACAAGAATAGCCACTCTGCTGATAACTCGGCCACGACCATGAAGCGATTGGTTGAAGAATCCTTTTGTCTTTTTAGCATAGATCAGCGAAGCAAATCTCTTACCTGTCTCTATAATTTGAGCCGCGCCATAGACTTGAAAGAAAACCAAAACTAGAAACCTCACCAAAACTCTGCAATGTCAGGTCAAACAGCCTCGGCTTCCAATCCCATCATCGTCGATGATCCCTACAAGCGTCTCGAGATCATTCTTAATCCAGACGGCTCGCTTACACGCAACCCCGACAGGTATCCTAACACCTCAGCCACACCCGATCCAAAACAACCCATCCCAGTTCTCTCCAAGGACATCACTATCAACCAATCAAACAGCATATGGGCTCGCATATTTCTGCCCCGGCAAGCACTTCATACATCTTCAAAGCTCCCTCTCGTAGTCTACTACCATGCAGGAGGATTCATCCACTGCAGCGCAGCATCAACAATTTTCCATGTTTTTTGCTCAAACATGGCGTTGGAACTCCAAGCCATCATCGTATCCGTTGACTACCGTCTCGCGCCAGAGAATCGGCTTCCAGCAGCTTACGATGATGCCATGGAAGCGTTGCATTGGATCAAAACCACGCCAGAAGAATGGGTGAAACGATGCGCGGATTTTGCTAATTGTTTCCTTACGGGGTCTAGTTCAGGTGCAAACATTGCCTACCATGCGGGATTACGCGCAGCCGAAGAAGCTGATGATCTTGAGCCGCTGAAGATCCGAGGGCTAATATTGCACCAACCATTCTTCGGTGGGTCCGAAAAGGTTGAGTCAGAGTTAAGGTTGGTCAATGATCCCATCTTGCCACCAGGTGTGAGCGATTTGATGTGGCAACTGGCGTTGCCAAAAGGCGCTGACCGAGATCATGAGTATTGTAATCCTGCGGTAGGCAAGAGGTCAAAGGTTTTGGACAAGCTCGTGTCCGTAGGATGGAGGGTTTTAGTGACCGGGTGTGATGGGGATCCTTTGATTGACCGTCAGGTCGGGCTAGTCAAGTTAATGGAAGAAAAGGGCATGAAGGTAGTAAGTGAGTTTCGCGCAGGGGATCATCATGGAGTAGATTTTATGCAGCCTGCAAAGGCCAGGGCACTGTTTTTGGTCTTAAAGGAATTCATTTTATCTGCTTCAGCTACGGTACCTGGGGATGGTATTTGATGATTTGTAATTGTTGCATAAATAAATGCAGATTATAAATTTCTGCCAAATATTATGGACTTTTAAAGAATTGGTGGGCTCCATTTTGCTTACACATTTGTTAACTTGTTTATTGTTGCTTTTGAAAAAAGGGAAAAGGATCCACTAGTTGCATTTAGATTAAAATCTAAAAAGAAGTAACAAATTATCATTTCAAAATTTTACTCGTATTTTTATAGGAACTATAACAATTAAAAATTATGCATTTTTATTAAAGAATTTAATTGTTAGCTTTTCTGACAAAATTGCCAGTGAAAATAAAGATAAGCAAAAGCAGGAATCTTTACCCAACCAAGGCTTAACTTAGAACCGAAAACTTCTATAATCCATTATAAAACCAGATACATCATACACAGCTCGCAGCATACAACGTACCGAAACACTTTAGAAATCACCGTGTTAATTCAGTGAATTAACTGATCCATATAAACTAATGTCAGGTGAAACCCCTCGCGCGACAATCACGGATCCGTTCGAGTATCTTCAGATCGTCCTCAATCCTGATGGCACCCTCACCCGCAAGCTCATGCTTCCCCGCGTTGCAGCCGAACCAAATGATCCCGAGGGCCGGGCTCCAGTCCTCTCCAAGGACGTCCGTATTAACCTATCAAACAACACTTGGGCACGTATATTTCTACCCCGTCAGGCGCTAGATTGTACTTCTTCTTCGGCCAACAAGTTGAAGTTGCCTCTCGTAGTTTACTACCATGGCGGAGGGTTCATTCTCTTAAGCGCAGACGTGGGCATTCTTCATGACTATTGCTCCAACATGGCCAAGGCTATCCCTGCCGTCGTCGTATCGGTCGACTACCGCCTCGCTCCTGAAAATCGGCTGCCGGCGGCTTATGATGATGGTCTGGAAGCGTTGCACTGGATTAAAATCACTCGAGACGAGTGGTTGAGAGAGTATGCCGATCTCTCTAATTGTTTCCTTATGGGTTCCAGTGCGGGCGGTAACATCGCTTACCATGTAGGCTTACGTGCGGCGGATGTGATCGATGCATTGGAACCTTTGAAGATCAAAGGGCTGGTGTTGCATCAACCTTTCTTCGGTGGGACCCAGAGGATTGCGTCAGAGTTGAGGTTGATGAACGATCCAGTTTTGCCACCAATTGTTTCCGATGTGATGTGGGATTTGTCTTTGCCAATTGGCGTTGACCGCGATCACGAGTTTTGTAATCCGACGGTGGATGGTGGGTCAAAGCAGTTGGAGAAGATCAAGTCGTTAGGATGGAAAGTGTTGGTGAATGGTTCTGACGGGGACCCACTCATTGACCGTCAGATAGAGCTGATGAAGTTGGTAGAGGGGAAGGGTGTGCAAGCTGTGCGAAACGTTAGAGTTGGAGGTTTCCATGGAGAAGAGGATATGGATATGTCCAAGGCACATGCCATGCACATGGTCGTTAAAGATTTCATTACGTCTTCCAAACAGATCCCTTAATAAACCAAGTAAACTCCGCGACTGAAATAAAATGATGACCAGTGGTGTCCTAGCTTTTGGTAACATCGTCATTTACTTGTACAATTTGATTTAAGTATTATTCAAACCTGCAATCTTCTGTCAAGAACAAAAGATGATCAAGCTTTAATGTTAATAAGCAATGTTGTTTTCCCCGTACATTACATCATTAGTATATTGCTTATTATTGTATCATACTCATTCTATCTCATTTTATTTGGTTTTCCTTCATTTTGTTATCAAATCAACTAAACTTTAATTTTGAGTACTTGAACATCAATTGACTCCTTGGTTTGATTGATTTTTTGTTTCCCACAGGGATTAAATGAAAATAAAGCTATTCATTAATATAGAGAAATATCACCATGCATATTCATTAATATTGTAATAATAAAGACCATTTAAATAGATAAATTAAACTTAGACCTTAAGTTTTAAAAGGGTCAACTAGACTTGTTCCTACTAAACTTGATCTATAAATACTTCTACTTACTAGACAAACTAATCAAAAGAATCAACAAATAGGATTTTTCTACTTTCCCCATTTCTATCTTTTGATTTGGTTCAAATTTATTAGAACTTAATTGGAATATAAAACGTTTCCTTGTTCCCTTGATAAGAAAGGCAAATTGGAATAGAGAAACCGATCATTCATTTTTAATTTGAAAAGAAAGAAAAGCTAGTTCGGTGATAGTAAAATAATTTTTCACATATATACCCATGACGATTATATATTATATCTCTATCAATTAAGAGTCACTCATACCTTTTATTTTATTAGTTTTTTTTTCACCTTTTTTTTACTGTGAGATAGATAAAAATTAGATATAGAATTAGTTTTTTAAAATTATAAACAAAATTAGATTCCCTTTGATTAATGCTTTATTTTATTATATATTTTTTAATTTTTATTTATGTATTTACTGTTTCCAAAAGAAAAATATCAATGAAATGTAACATTTTCAGAAGTAGGAAAACATGAAAACCATAGAGGGGCTATATATTTACGAATGACAATGGGTTGCCCCCATTTTATGTCTTTTTATAATTTGATCTCGTGTGTCCTATAGATTTTTGTTTGTTAACATCCATGTTGATGCTGTTAGTTGCTATTGTTTTCAAGGCAGGTAGGTATTAACTTCAATTTATTTGACATAAAGCCCGTGCTTGCTCTTTCTATCATGCCCATCAACATTCTCGTAGTCCTGTAGCAATCAACTTCCATGTCTGAGGTATTAAGACTTTTGAATTTTTTTTTTCTAATCATACTTACCAGAGTCAAAATCTTCAGATGAATAAGACATTTATATTTACTCTTCCTATGATGCCTATAAACGTCATAAGATGAATAAAAATGCTTTGATTTGTTTTTTTTTTCTTGGAAAATTATGAAATTGATTGAGTAATCGTAAAACCATAGTACTTTGGATAAGGAGTGATCAACCAGATTATCGATTATGTTAAATCTAACGTACAAACATTCTGTATCAACAATCCATCTTTAGACACAATAATACAATAAAATATTCTATCACAAACAAGACCTTACAGCTCCAATATGGTAAAGCACACAAACATAATGCAAGAGAAAGTAAGAATTCGTGAAACATATACCCTGTTTCCAGTTCGTGCTCAATCTTATGGTTAACACATGAGTTAATCTGCTCTAGTTACTCTTGTTAGAGTTAAGTGTCTTTAAATGAAAATGAATGGTCATGTCTTCTCTAATTCCTATCAAAATTTGACTATCAAAAGAGCTAGTTTTTGAATAATTTCGTCTCTTTTCCATCTTCTTGGTTTTCTTCTCCTCTTTAACTTTTTATGACCATCATCAGAATATACATGAAAAGAAAAAAAAAAAAAAACTTACGTAGAAGTGTTCCTTGACTTTGATGAGAGAAGTTTGGTAAAGCGTTGATGTCAACTAAGATTGAAATAATACCCATGACGGTACGAATAACCAAATAATACACGTGGCATCAACACGTTAACAAATAAAAACATATTATACACGTGGCATCAAATTATGAGAGGGGCACAAAACAGGGGCAGACGATTTGTATTCATATATTACGACGTGTAGAGCTAAGAAAGTACCCATGTCGGGTGAAAAAAATGTGGACGAATAACATTTTCCTTCCGAATAATAACTTCTAGTATAGAAACTAGAAAGCTCACTGAAAATGGTGCAATGGTATACATACCCAAAAAGAAGCCCAATTCTGATTTACTAGGACTTGTAGGCAGTATAGTTTAGGCCTATTATGAGATCACTGATGAGCCAATCCTCTTGGACGTACCCAGTGAACCAGGAGTAATTGGGCGTCATTTATATTTTTATGGCCTGATCAGTCCCATCTAAATAGGTCTATTTCCATAGAAAGCCGATATGTCCCGCCAGGCACAAAGATCGTTTCTGTCTCGTCTCTTAAGGCCAGTTTCTTGATATCTTCACATGCATACCTGAATTAGGCACGTCTCAACTCTCTCAACCACAAACCCAAAATATTTCTTACAGCCCCACAAACTTATGAATGCCATTAAATGGCTATGTTATGATGATTATTGATTTCTGATTTTAGTTTTTGAAGTTTATTCTTGCTTCAGTAGAATGGAATATTCTGAATATATACTAAAAAATCAAATCGATATTAACACTTATATATATATATATATATGGCATCATTGAAATTACAAAAACTTTCCATTTTTTTCTTCTTCTTCTTCTTCTGTTCGTCAATGTTATCCATAAGTTAGAGTTTTACCATCCAACCATTGATGCCGCTGGAGAACAAAATGATATGTGGTCAATTCGCAAAGCAAAAAACACTAACAAAAATGACAAATGTGTTGATATCAAACGACTGTTTCATTTTACATTGTGCTTTAGTTATTCCGTGATGCAAAACCTAAAAACTTTTGTAGAAATCAATACAAATATACCATGTCACATTAGCAAATGAATGCTAGTCGCTACACTACATGGCAAGCAACAATTTTCTTGAAATCTTTGTCTCATCCAAAGGATATGTCCAATCGACCAATGGGGTTATATTTTGCTAGAATCAAACTCTAATCATAAATAATATATATATATTTATATTTATTTAAAAAATGAAGGTCTAAAGTTATGTCATTCTCATGCACTAGTTGCTGTCTTGTTGTAATTTTTATATTTTTTTTGCTTTGATGACGGAGGAATTGAATGTAACTGAAGAAAATAAAAACTATGCGAATGAAAGCCACTCGCTCGTGATCTTCATTCAGAAGGGGGTAACGACTAATACTTAATGAATTTTGAGAAGGCAAGTTACGTGGCGAAAGCTAATCTGGTTATGTTTATAACTTAATAACTATTTGATTATGTAAGAGTATAGAAGGGCTGATGGAGAGATATATAGGAGGAAGCGAACATATATATATATATATATATATATATATATGTACATAAGCAATTCGTCGTCTTCCCCCGACAATATCGCTTCCCATTTCACTATCACACCATGTAGCCAAAAGAAAAAACAAGGAAATAGAAGAAATAAGATTTTGCGTGATTGATCAACCGTTATGTGTGTTGGACATCCTGGCACGTAATTATGGAATAGGATCTAATGTAAAATATCACTTAATTATTGAAAAGAAACCAAAGTATCCCAACTCGATTTGATCATGCCTTTTTATCGTTACATGCCTTGCCATTAAACTCCTAATAATTTCAGCCTTAAATAGACAGCTTTGAGTGAGCTAATCTTGTAAGTGATGTTGGGTATTAAATATTATCATCCAAGTAATCAAGGGAACTCATCATCCTGTTTTGGCTTGTCGCTTTTACTATACTATTCAAAGATTATTGTCGTCTTCCGTGAAAATAACAGAAGAAAAAAAATACATATATAATTTATCAAAAGCAGCATACACAAAGAAAAAATTGAGCACCCCTAGAGCTCCAGCAGGTATAGCTATCAAAAAGATAAATTTGTTTAGCATTAATTGGACTAATTAAATGGCTGTGCTAGTTTCACGCATTAAACTAATGAATGTGGGGAGAACATTTGAATTGTAGCTTTGTTGTTTTTTTCCTGTTGTTTATGAATGTTCTACTTTTACTTGGATTATCTTCTATTTTTACTTCTTACTCAGTAAGATAATAGATACATTTACCGATAAAAACAAGCAATCTTTGTCCTTACCTTATCCAAATGAATAAAAAAAATTAATATTTATTATTTTAGCATGGAAGAAGTGCAAAGCCACTGGACACAGAGTCTTCATGTGCATTTTCTGAGTTGGAAGTAAATCTTCCATGATTGAAGGGCCACTATACAATGAGTCTTCATGCAGTTTCACATGTGGGGGAGATCTTCCCTAAGTGGGAAAATTTTTTTGTCTGTTTAATCCAACCATACATATATCATCTACCCTTTTTTTTGGTTAATCCTAGGTTTGAGGTCAAAAGATCAAAGCTCCAAGAAAAAAGGGGCAAAACTTAAAACAAAAGGGGTGAGGCAGTCCCTATTTAAATTGGATGATGAATAGACTAGCCAATTAGGAGTATAGACTCAAACATTGCGAAAGCCTTTTGAACCAAAGAGAAGTCATCAAGAAGGGCATTAATCACCACATGATATGATTCAGCATATTTCAGGAGGCAATGCCAATGCCGTATTATTTAGTACTTTTAACGCAACACATAGCTTAAGTCAAATTTAAATTACGTAAAAGATAAACACTGAAAACATCAATCGCACAGGACCTTATACATATTTGGATTTGTTAACAAAAGAAAAGAAGGGTTCATAGTCGGAACAATAATGTTGCTGAAATGAAGGGGCAAAACGTAGGACAGAGGAGCAGAGAAATAGAAAGGCGAGAGGGAAGAAATGATGTTGTTACATGGAAATGGCAGCGGAGACAGAGAAGTGGGTGAGAGAAGAGGGAGGGCGGGTCGGGGTCGGGGTCGGGGTCGTGGTCGGGGGTATCCATGAAAAGGAAAAAATCCAAAGAGGTGTCGTCTAATGCGGAGGGAATAGTTTGTTGTGCACTAACAAGTGTCCGGTTTCTTTGAGAGTTGGGATTGGGGGCAAAGGGGGTGGTGCCAGAACAAACAACAAATGGTTTCCACGTGATGCGGGCCTTTTGGAAGGGAGTACGGGAATGGG